AAGCAGTTGGCGAGGGGCAAAGCTGCGGGCTGGGCACTGCTACTACGGACTGGACGCGGACTGCGTCTGTTTGGCTGCACGTGGGCTATCGCTAACTGTTGAGGTATTGTCATCGCCTACCGAGGACTGCGATGTATGGCTCCGTGCCACTAGCATTTGGTTGTTGACTATTGCGGCCTGCAGTGCCGCGGCACTTGGACTTAGAAGGGGGACTGAGTCGGGGGAGAAAGGTGGGTATTGCGAGTTGAGGGGTCGGCAAAGGGGGTGGCCTTGGCAGTTTGACGTCGGAAGTTTGACCGAGCTGTTGTGAGTTGGCCGCCATTGAGGGGCCCTCAGGCGATTGAAAGATAACAAGGCTCTCTCCTGCGAGTCTGAGTGCACCTCTCTTGGATCTGAGAGTCCCAAATTCTCTCCTTCTGCCCTTCTTACTCTAAGTCTAATCTTTTTGGTGTCGAGAGGAAGGCAGCAGGCGGGATTGCAACCCGTAATCCGCGCCAAGGCCACTGTGGGAGGTTCGCCCCACCGATTGCTGGAGCTCTGCCGGAGCCTAGGCGAGGCTCTGGAGGCAGGGAATTGAAAGGTAACCGTTTGCTTCCCCTTTATATACCCTGATATAACCCCTACTTGTACGTCTTGCTATGGTTGACTGAGTATACTGTATGTGCCCCTATTTTGGCTTTGGGTTGCCTGGCAGGACACAACTCAGATTAAGTAAAAGAATGTGTGCGCAATCTCAGTTTCAGTTTTTGTTGATTGCATGAAGGCAGATTGTGAATACAAGGGATCGCATCTGGGGGAAGGGTGGGTGAAAGGTGGTTTTGCCTAAGCGTGAATGGGTCCTATGGGGTCAGACCAGTTCCATAAGATTGGACGGCCTGACCGCTGTGTTTTATTTTTGAATTGCATGGAGAGTCAGACCAGTTCCATAAGATTGGACGGTATGATTGTTCTGAATTGTGAGGGCTTTATTGTGGCTGACTTTTCAGGGGTCAAACCTGTACCATAAGATTGGAGGGTTTGGTTGTCAGGTTTTATTGGGGTTTGTTCTGTTTCTTTTGTTTCTGATCAAGGAGGTCTAAGCAAGTCCATAAGATTGAATGGCTCAGCCCCCCTTTTGTTTTATTCTGAGGGGATAATCCTTTCTGAGGGCAGGGCATGTCCATAAGATTAACGGCCTTGGACTCATGTTGTACACAGTTGGGTCAGAGAGAAATGAACCTGGCAGAGGACCAGACCAGTTCCATAAGATTGGACGGTCTGGCCCAATGCCTCGCACATGCTGGAACCCAAAAGGTTAAAATTTGGTTATACGTTATATTATTCTATCTATGAAGAGGCTAGCCAGGCATGGGTTCCATAAGATTGGACGGCCTGACTATAGCTTATCATAAAATGAAGAGAGTATAATTAAGAGTATAGTTGAAGGTAACCCTAGGCAGGCCGGGCCTTGTTCTAAGATGAACGGCTCGGTCCTATGCCCAACTTTTGAACGCTAAGCTCAGAGAGGTATATATAAGTTGGATATTAAACAGTTTTGGGCGACTAAGCCTTGTTCTAAGATGAACAGCCTAGTCGTATGCCCAAGAGGAAGAGAGAAGTAGTTGTGTTACATGTTCCTGTATACTCAATGGCTGAGTCARGCAAGTTCCATAAGATTGGACGGCTTGACTTTATGCCCTATGTAAGCTGGGTATAAGGGAATAAAGCATCCAAAGATTACGAGCTATTGTTTGCAAAGGTTGATTTGGGGTGGCGAGAGTACTTACCTTTGTGGTTTGGCTTGCATGAGGCTGAGTGGGGCTACTACTTGGTTTGAGTGTCAGGTTGACAGGTAGTTGCTTTAGAGGCTCGCCTCGTGCTAGAGGGATAGGAGTTAGGTCAGTTCCTGCATTTTCTGAGCGAAGTTTTTTTACTTAGATCGATTTCCATATTTTCTGGGATCTTTTGTTATACTTGGCTTTGTATGAATTTTGGTAAGCCACTTTCTCTACGGGAAGCGCTGCCGAAATTTCTACAAATCCGAGGAGTTAGTCAATTCTTGACTTCTCAAGGTTCAGCCCGTCTAAAGTTCATGTATGGCTTAGTAAAAATCTGGAAAGTCTCCTTTTCTAAAGGGAGTGTTGCCCAAATTTTTGCTAATTCAAGGAGTTAGACAAAATTGGACTTTGGAAAGTCAAAGACTATTTATGTTCTCATATTCGTAATGATATAAATTCTGAAAAGACACTTTTCCTACGGGAAGCGCTGCCGAATTTTTTTTGATTTAGAGGAGTTAGGTTATATTCTAATAAACGGCGATTCTGGCGATCCACCCTGAATAGGGGAGATCCTGCCGTTAGTCTACCTTTGGTTGGAAACTGGCTTAGGGGTAGACTCTGATTTAATTGGTAGGTGACTTGGGTGAGAATGCGCTATGGAGGGTCATCCCCCATATGCTGATGATTTAGCTTGTGCATTGACCTGTCTTACGGTACAGGCCTTTCTTGGAGATTCGATTCAGGACTTGGGCTAGTTCAGCTTGATCCTACAAGGATCATCATCTGTTATCACTGATAACAAGTCGGTTGTCGATTCGTCGGCTCACGACTCTACTACTACTCGCTCCCCATACTCAACCTAAAAGGCTTTAGCCCTAATGATCTTTTTGTTTGTTAAGGGTTTCACCCAGACTTTTATTGAATGGTCATTTAACAAAGGTACTGAGTATTTAATTGAGGTTGGTTGGCTGGAGGTTGGGGTTTGCATGGCTAAAGCGACGGGTATGAGTACAAGAACTGGTTGGAGTTGACTCCCCGTAGTGCGTGGACTCTCGTCTGACTTTTGATGTGATTGCAGGTTTGTTCAAAGACTTGGGGTTTGGTTGGGCTGCCTTGCGGTCGCATATATATGTATGGCTAGGAGGAGACGCACTATGACTGTGAGAAGTGATCGTCACATAATTATCCCCCTCGTGCATATACATATACCTACGTGTGGAGTTAGCGTGGCCTGAAGTGCCCGCGTACTAAGGGTCAGTCGAAGGCCAGGGTGAATAGAAGGGGGGGTATCCCTCGCCAATTCTTGTTTCTTTTCCTTGTTGCGATTCATCTTGGTGGAACGATAAAGTTCCGGGCGGAAGGGTCATCGTGTTGCTGGTGATGCGCCAGACAACTCACCACCGCTCCAAACTCCCTCCTGCCCTAGGGGCCGTCTTGCCCCGCACCCGTTGGGACACCTCAGGGTGCTGAAGACGGAAAGACCCTCAAGCCGGTTTTGCGCGCGCCAAAGGGTTACCCCCATTGGCTCGCGCTTCAGCCAACGCCTGAGCGCCAAAAGGGGACCCCTTGACTCAGAGTAGGTCATTTGGGTGTGGGCAATACACAATGCGCCGTCATCGCGGCTACTCGCGTAGAACTGCATAGCGAGATAGTATGTGTAAGTCCAGCGCTCTCGCGATCTTATACTAAGTTCGCGCGCGGCACTCGTCGCATCCCGCACTAAAAGAGTTATGGGTCAGGCGGCGAGACCACAAGCGCGACACGGCCAGTAAACTTGGGGTCTTGGTAACGTGAAGCGGCACGTGGGCGGAGGACTAGCCCGGTCAGCCTTTGGGAGTCGGTGTACGGGCCTCATTATCTCGGACGCCGGGTAGCCTACGGGTAGGATACCGAACCTCCTCCGCGCGCGCGTCGTTTGGACTTATCCACCCCCTTTCCATTTTAGAGGGCCATCAGCTAATGGGGGTTGGAGTGAGTCTCCTTTTTACGTTGTCATGGTTGGACGCTATAGTCCGTGGCGGCCGTCAAAGTCAAACCCCTTGATGTTCGACCGCCACGACAGCTTAAAGATGTCTACTCAACCCCTCTGCACAGGGTGCAGAAGAGGGTGTGGTCTCCAACCGCGCACAGCGGTTGTCCAGCGTCGAGAGATTAACCCTCAAGGCGTGTGTCAGCCGACACTTGAGTGTCGAATGCGACCCTCGAAATTAACGAGGGTCGCACGATTATGGCCAAGACATAGTACGCCATCATTGCGACTGCTTGCGTACGTTTGCATTGCGAGTCGATGTGAGTTAGCCCTGCGTCCGCGCGGTTTTATACTAAGTCTCGCGCGCGACGCCTATTCGATTTCCGCGTTGGAAAGTTATGGGTTGGCTACCGAGGGACTAGGAGCATTGTCGCGTTGTTCGTGTTGTGTCGTTTGTGCAATATGTGCGTGCGCGTATGTTTTGTTTTTTTGTGTTCGTAGAGTGGTGTGCACGTGGTGTGTGGGGTGCGTCCTAGTCGACCGACGTCGAGCCACGCTTGGGACTTCAGCCCCCCAAGATGTTGGCCTGCGTGCGGGTCCGATAGGCGTATTACCGCGCGTACCCCCTATGCTACAGCGAACGAGAAACGCCCTCGGCTGGTCCACCTCTGCGATTGCAACCGAGTAGTTTTCGTACTGTGGACTGGTAGCTCGGCGAGGATACGCTCGCCGAAGGGAGGTGACTGCTCCCGTAAGGTGGAGGTAAGTTGTGCCTCGCGTAGGCCCTATCCTGTCGTAGGGGCTCGCGAGAGGTATGGCTGGCGCACTCGGCCGGAGCGGCCTAAGGGAGCTCCATTTGTGTATTCGCGACGAGGTTGGTCCAACTCCTACGTGATGCGGCCGAGAGGGTCCCGCGCTGCCACGTGCGGTGCCGGGCCGAAGCGCCCGATCGATGGCGCCGTTGCCGAGGATAATGGAAGCCTACCGTTGTCCCTGGTGGAACGACATCCGGGTAATATGAGAATGAGAGAGAACTAGGCACGTGAGCAAATAGGAGAAGAACTATGAGATGGGTCGTATAGTAGTCTATATGGTTGTGTGGGTATGAATGTTGATCTGATTGGTGGTTTGGTTGATGGCATGAACGACGCGAGTATGTGAGTGAATTATGTGATGAGAATGGGTCTTACTTAGGTGAACCCAAGGGAGGTAGGAAGTAGAGAGAGAAATGTCTGCGAGGTCCAGAGCGTCGGGTGCTTAGGTGGTCGGTCTGATAGGATCGTGAAGGAATGGACTGCTGAGTGGAACCTTTCGTCCTATCGCTTCTTATAACAGGGGGATTGAAGTCGAAGGCAGCTAATCAAAATGCCTGGGGAGATGGCGGACAGTGGAAAAAAGCTTGTAACGCTCGACGACCTCATCGATGCACTGGATAAGCGCGAGAGAGCGCCAAGCAATGTCCCGAAGGTCGATACATTCCACTTCAAGGGAGAACGGGTGTCCGACTGGCTGGACCTGACGGAGCAAGAATTGGTGGGGCTGTCAGATGAGGTCAAGCTCCAGCGAGTCCTAAGATATGTCCTTCATAGCCACCATCAGGAAGTAGGCAAGGTCGTAGATGCCGCCAATGGTAGTTGGGCGAGGTTCAGGGACATGATGCAGAGAAAGTACAGGTTGGGGGATGGTTTGCTAACCATGGCGGATTTGGAGGCCATAAACAAGGACGACTTTTCCACGATTGGGGCGTTTGTGCACGAGTTTAAAAGGAAGGCGCAGAAGGTGCATGGGATCTCTGAAGAAACCCAGTGTGCCATATTTTTGGGTCTGCTTACTGGCTCGGAGGCCTCGGAGCTGACGGGTCACGGAGGGGGAAATGAGAAACTCACCTGGGCCACTATCGATAAAGCGGTGGAAGAGGGGAGCCTGGACCAGGTGGAGCAGCACCAGGTGCGGCTGCAAAGGCGCAAGAGAAAGGAAAGGGACGCCACCGCGTTCGGGACCCCAGGGGTGAAGAGGATCGTCACGGACGTATTGGCAGCGCTGGGTTATGATAATGAGGCGAAATTGCAAAAGAGGGGAGTGACCGTGGCCCAAGGCCGGGCGTCGGGGGCAGTGGAAGAGGAGGCTAGGCGCGAGGACTATGGCGGAGAAGAGACGGGATCCCAGATCCTAACCAAGGCCAAGAGGAAGCAGCGGAATTTACAGGTGGGGGGTCAAGGATCCGGAAAAGGGCAGGTCCCGCAAGCAATTGCTGCGCCGCCACCTGCTGCCACGACAACGTCAGCGACGGTCGGGCCGTCATGTATGGGGCCGCCGCCGGCTTGTGGGCATTGGGTGCCGCATTGTCAGCCTACATCCTGACCCAATTGTAATCACTGCGCCTCGTGCGGGGGTAGTCAAACTCAACCCGGGCAAATGGTCCCTTATGTGGGCCCAGCGGCAAGTATGGGGCCCCCGAGCTACCCTGCGGCTCAGGGTCAGTTTGTGGCCCAACCACCTCCCTCCCAACAGGCCTCGCAGGTCAGCGTGGCCGGGGGAGGAAACCAAGGACGAGGCGGACAAGGCAATGGAGGCCGAGGTCAAGGGGGTCGAGGAGGTGGCGGCCGAGGCCGGGGAGGAAATGGTGGGGGTCGCGGGGGTGGTTGGATTGGTCAGAGGGGTCAGAACCAAGGTGGCCGAGGTGGCCAAGAAGGGGGCCAAGGGTATGGGAGGCCCCGCTTTGATTGGCGGAACGCCACCTGCTGGCATTGTAGCGAGGTGGGCCACACTATACGGTTCTGCCAACGGCGGCGAGATGATGAGTTGACCGGTCTAATTTCCTCTTGTATGGACGGGGATATATACGATAAGTGGGGAGAGCATATCGACCCTAGGACCCCGGGAGGAATCAGGCAAGAAGCTCTTAGGCGAGCGGCGGCAGGGTCATCGGCAACCCCGGCCATGTTCAGGATGTGGCAGGAGAAAGGAGAGTTGGCCATAAAAGTTGAGGAGATTGTGGGAGATAGCGAGGAGGTCACTTAGCGACTAAAGGCGGGGACTATAAGAGAGGAGCCAATAGTCGTCGAATCGGATGATGAGGGGCAGGAAAGCGAAGGAGAGCCGTCCACACTCCTCCTGGGAAGGATGGAAGATCTGCTGGAAAAGGTGGGGAGATACTAGCGGAAGCTGCAAGCCCTGTGTGAGGAAGCCCGAGAGTGGGAGGCCAACCTGCCTGAGGTCTTCCTTTATGACTCCGGGCCAGAGCCTTCGCCAGGACAACAAGGGTGCCCAAGAGTGGCGACTGTAGGGACGGGCCCTAGGTCAGGTATGACCTATAGACCCCCCACGTCGCATGGGAGGGTGTCGCAGGCGGCTAGGACCAAGAGCCAAAATAAGGTTAGGCCTAGTCAAGAGCCCAGTCAGGCGCCCAGTCAGGCACCCCCTCGAAAGGAATCAGAGCCTGGACGTAGGAAGGAGGTGGTGGAGGTTCCGGAGGAAGAGGAAGAGGATGACGATGAAGAGGATGTAAGGCTCCGACAAGAGGAGGATCAGCGGGCGGAGCTGGGGGCCAAAAAGAGGGGGGGCGAGGAGGAGGCCGAGCCAAGCCTGCTCGACAACGTGCCTAAGAGAAAGAAGTACGCAGTCCGGATGGAGGAAGGCTTTGATGTGGAGCGGATGGTGGACAAACTACTGGAAGGCCATAATGACTTGATGAACCTAAAGGACATCCTGGCGTCGGCGCCAAGGCTCCGTCGTGAGTTGAAGGGACTACTGTCGCGAAGGCTGGTGCCAAATATCCATCTGAGTACGGTCCTGCCTAGAGAGGTGGAGTGGACTGAGGCAGGGACAAGGATGGATTGGAAATATGTGGCGTGCGGGTAGGTGGATTTGGTGATAAGGAACCAGAAGTGTACTGGGATGGTGGACATGGGCGCAGAGATGAACATCATCAGGGAGAAGGAGGCGGTGATGATAGGCATGGACATCGACCGCTCGGACCATGGCATGCTGCACGACGCTAACTGCAAGGCCGCTTTTTGCGGCACAGCGTCTAATGTGATTATAGAGATTGGGAAGGTGTGAGCCAGGACTTGCTTCTTCGTCATGCCCGATGTTGATCATCCCATCCTTCTGGGGCGGCCGTTCCTATGCCGGATGGAAATGTTGATCTTCAACAAGCACGATGGAACAATGATCCTGCTCCTGTGCGACCCGGCGTGTGGGAATTATGGAGTTGTCACCTGCCGGAACACGGGGCCGGGGAGCGGGAGGAATAGGCCCAATCTAGGCTCATTCACCTTTGAGGAATCAGAAAACGAGCGGAGACGGCTTTGGGAAGTGCCCGAGTAGGAAGATAGGGCTGAGGTGCTAACATTGAGCCTCACGGATGTGAATAAGGTCATGGAGGTGGTATCGGCTCATGACATGGCGGATCCGGAGGTCATTAAGGCATTGAGGGAACAGGTTTTGGAGAACCCTCAGGTGGGGGAGGCCATTAAGGCATGGAGGGATCCGGGAGGGAGGGGAGGCCCTGCGATGGCCCAGGCCCGAGCGACAAGTCGGCCTTTTTTAGGGGAGGGCTTAAGCAGGGTTCCCAAAGGCGGTAGAAGACCATAGATAAGAAGTGCCGCCCAGTTCCCGTGCTCGTCACAGAGGATGAGGAAGCCTACTACGAGCGGGAGCGAGGATTGATACGGCGTATGCGGGAGCATGCGTTGGCCGTGTCGTGCCGTATCAACGACGAGAATAAGGGAGAACTGATAATCGGGGAGCCCGACTTCCTGTCGCCCCAGGAAAGAGTATTGATGGTGGGGATGATGAAGAAAAGGCACCGCGCGTATGCCTTCGATGACGATGAGCGTGGAAGGCTGGATGTGGACAAGATTCCGATGATACGAATCCACACCGTTCCGCACGAACCATGGAATTTAAGGGGCGCGCGATACCCAAATCCGGATGAGGAGAAGAAGGTGGTGGACTACCTGGACGGCAAGATGCGGACGCACGTGGCCTACTATTCCAGTGGACCGTACGCGTCACCTTGGTTTTGTTTTATCAAACCAAATGGGACGCTAAGGTGGGTGCAGGACTTGCAGCGGTGAAATGCCGTGACGGTGCGGGATGCGGGGGGGTTACCAAACGCGGACGCGCTGTCAGAGTCGTGCGCAGGGAGGCCTATAATCTCGATCATAGACCTCTACTCTGGGTACGACCAATTCCCTGTATACCCGCCAGACAGGCCTGTAATGGCAATGCACAGTCCCAGAGGGTTGATTCATATAAACGTGGCGCCTCAAGGTTGGACGAATGCAGTGGCGATGGTGCAAAGGCATATGATCAGAGCCATGCAGACGGTCAGTCCACATATCACTCAGCCATATATTGATGACCTGGCGGTCAAAGGTCCGAAGGAGAAGGAGGAAGACGAAGTGATGCCCGGTGTGCGGCGCTTTGTCTAGAAGCATGTCCAAGACATCGATCAGGTTCTGGGGTTATTGGAGGAACATAACCTGACGGCGAGCGGCCCCAAGTCGAAACATTGTATGAGGGAGGCCACGATTCTAGGGTTCGTCTGCAATGAGAGTGGGTGGAGGCCTGACGTAAAGAAGACAGATAAGATTTTTGAGTGGCCAGTGCCCTTCCGCTCAATAACGGATGTGAGGAGCTTCCTTGGGACGTGCGGATTTCGGAGGAGCTTCGTGAAGGACTTTGCCACGAAGACGAAACATTTAAGGAAGTTGGTGCGACAGGATCAAGAATCGGTCTAGGGTGAAGACCAGGAAGAGGCGGTCGGTAGGATGAAGGGAGAGTTTAAGGAAGGGGGCTTGGTATTGGAAGCGCCAAATTATGAGGCCACGGAGGAAAGACCATTCGTCATTGAGACGGACGCTGGGCCAACTGCCTTGGGAGGAGTCATGATTCAGGCAGATACTGAGGGGAAGGAGAGGCCGCTAAGATTTGAAAGTCGTACCCTCAATACAACTGAGAGGAATTACTCCCAGTTCAAGAAGGAGACGTTGGCGGTACTCCATTGCCTAAGGACCTTCCGGAACTATGTTTTTGGCAGGGTGGACCCTACTGCACTAGCATGTTCCCTGAAGAATTATACTCCATCTGACCCAACCGTCGCAAGATGGTTGACCTACATTTGGATGTTTAATTTCGAACTGGAAAGGATCTCAGGGAACAAGAACAGGGCAGATGGGTTAAGCCGCATCAACTGGGACGGATCGGATGAGGAATCGATAGAAGACACGCCGCCAGTTGATGGGTTTTTGGATCAAGAGGAGGACGTCCGCCTGCACATAAACGAATGGTCCCTGCGAGTGCCCAGTTGTGTCAGTCACCCCGTATGGCTGGCACCAAAGGGGTACGAGCAGAAGGAAGAGTTAGTCCTCAAGCCCTTTCAGGAGGAGGATCTGTGGGGAAGTAAGGATGTTGGTTGGATGATGAAGTTGGTGTTGGCAGGTACGCACAGTCTGGTGGGGGAAGTGAGGGCAATAGAGGAAGGCCCCACTCAGGTAGAGGAGCATGAGCAGCTAATGGGAGGGATGTACCTGCTCACCAATACGCTCCTGCAAGGAGACTTCGACCGGAAGGGCTCGTTCAGTCACGAGGAGAATGAGATTCTGGTTTCTGAAAGCCGAGACGACGAATTCGAGGAAGGAGAAATCAAGGAGGCGTTTCGGGCGGAGGAGTATGATGGGATCTACTGGGAATTGGGGTTGCTCCTATCGTGTGAGATGAGGGATAGAGATGCGAGTGTCAAGGCACAGAAGATGAGGCACCTCTATGTGGTAAGAGACGGTCACTTGTTTATAAAGCGGCAGGTCGGGAACCCCAGGAGGATCATATGTGGGAGAAACCGGCAAATTGATATCATAGCGGCCCTACACGATGGTATAGCAGGGGGGCACAAAGGGGTAAGTGCCACATGCGCGAAGATAAGCGAGCTCTATCATTGGGACAGGATGATGACGATGGTTATCAAATATTGCCGGTCATGTATACCTTGTCAAGAGAGGTCAGCGCAAAGGCCTAGAGAACCCCTACACCCAAGGTTAGAAAGGGAAGTGGGTGCGGTCGTACACCTGGACCTGTTATTCATGCCAGCAGGGGAGAATGGGTGTAACTACATCTTCGATGCACGGGATAACCTTACTGGGTTTGTGGACGGACGAGCTATCCGAACGAAGACTGACCCGCTTTTGGCGAACTACATCGAGCAGTATTACCTGCGATACCCTTTCGTCAGGGAGTTCGTGATGGATCGAGGATCAGAGTTTACCTGCAATGAGGTGAGGACGTTGCTTGCAGGGTATGGCGTAGTGGCCAACTATACTACGGCCACACACCCTCAAGCGAATGCTCCTGTGGAGAGAGGACACAGTACCATCACGAATCTCCTGGCTAAGTGGACAGAGCAAGCCTGGTCAGTGGCCGAAGTTCCTACGGGCAGCTTTTTTCTTGGAGAATGTTACGGTAAAGAGGACTACCAAGTACGCGTCAGCCACGCTATGGTACGGGAGGCATGCCACCTTTCCCATAGAAAGCTTTATGAAGACGTGGAGGCGTCAGGACTTGGAGGTAAACCTGTCTTTCGAAGAACTGCTCGATATTCTGGCGCGGCAAGTGGGGGCGGCCGAAAAAAGATTGCGAGAGGCCGCTGGTCAAGTGGAAAGGAGTCGGATGGAAGATAAGATGAGGTGGGACCAGATGGCACGAGTAAGAAAGGAGCCATTGGCAGTAGGGGATGTCGTATTATTATACGACTCCTTTTTGGAAAAGCAATGGTCGAGGAAGTTTGACAAGAGATGGTTGGGCCCCTATAGAATATTGTCGTGCGGCGAATTTGGGGCCTATCAGATCGAGGAGCTGGACGGGACAGGCTGGCAGGATTGGGTATCAGGGACCAGGCTGAAGAAGTTCGTGGCCAGGGAATAGGTAAAGAATTCTACCTTTCTCAGAGTAGGCTGGTCCTTGAGGTATCGCAGGTTATGGTCAGGACAGGTGAGGAAGTAGGAAAAGGCATGTGTGTTGTCATAAAAACTTGATGAACCAAGGGCTAACCTTGTTGTGTGCCTGCTTGCTTTCTCTCGCCTGTTGTGTAGGTCTGACTTTTCGAAGACAGCCATGCAGAGGGGCGGGAGGGGCGCGCGGCCACAACATAGGCCTCAGGGAGCATTAGGAGGGGATGACTCACGCAGACCGGTTGGGAGAGAGTCTACGCCTATTTTCGACGACGGTAACATAGAACTTTTTCTGGATTCCTACGAGGCACATGCGACACGGGAGGGCTGGTCTACCTTGGAAAGGATACGGCACCTGAGGGGAGTTGGGCGCTTCGAGAAGCCTATTGCGCACATTCGAGAGGAGGCGTTGGCATGGCAAGATGTGGAGGCGAGGATGCAGATGTTGAGGGTTTCGCCAATGGGACCAGATGGATTGCCTATCCGATTGGAGGAAGGCAATGCAGAGGAGTTCATCCCGGCCTATGAGCAGTATATGTGTGACCAGGGGACTGGGCAGGAGGAGTGGATGCAGATGCTGCCCCTCTGGACACGGAGGGCGGAGAGGTCATTGGCAAGGCAGATCCGGGACAGGGCACACGACTGGGAGGACTGCCAGGCCCAGTTGAGACAGGCATTTCGACGACTGGAGCCCGAGAGACCAGAGACCAGGGTGGAGAGACGACAAAGGAGTAAGAGGCCACGGGGCCCAGAGGCGAGAGAGACCATTATGACTAGAGGGGGCCAAAAGGCCTTGGCACAGCGAGAGGGGCCAGCGGAGGCCGCCCAGGCGGTGGAGCCAGTTCAGGCCGCGGGGTCAGCTCAGGCGGCGGAGCTACCCCCTACCTATGGAATTTCGCCGAATCACGGGCAGTGATCTACGGGGCCTGTTGTCGACGTTACCAGAGCGGGGAGAGGCGGTGCCGTTGCGGACGCCGCTCGACAGATTGGAGGCTCATCTCGATGCGTCCCAGTGGGGGGCGTCACAGCTAGGAGCGGACCAGAGCGGACCGGCACGGTATGAGCCAGTAGAGGATGAGCCAGAGGAGGAGCCACCTGAGCCGGGGCCGGAGGCGGGGTCTCGCGAAGCCAAGGAGCTGCAGACTGAGGGGGTTATCACTGTTGGGGATGATACCCTTCCTCATACCCCGATTCTTGAACAGGCGCGGCAGTATTGGCCTGAAGGAATTCCTGAGCCGGACAGCGAGGAGATGTTGGGGCCCCCACCGGAAGCTACTACGCCACCCCCGACGCAGGCGGAGCCAGAGGGGGGCGAGAGGGCGAGGACACCTACTACTGTGGCGCCGCAACTAACTGAGTCTACAGGTGCACGCATGGATGTGGAGGTGCCGACATCCGGGGAGCCTCCGCCAGGGCCGCCACCCGCAGAGGAGAGGACAAGTGAGGAAGATCCATTGCGAGAGGGTCACGAGGCGAGGACAGGGAGGCCACCGGGGGAGACGAAAGAAGAGAAGCGCGCGAGGGTGCAGGTACGCCTCGAAGAGCTATACCAGGAAAAGCTTAGGATGGAGGCCGCGGGAGAAGCGCCAAAGCCGCCAATTGACCCTCCGACGAGCGAGCAGAAGATTAGTGCGGCTTGGGCCAGCTATGAGAGCGAGAGGGATGCGCCTCGACTGAGGTCGCGAGAGGTAGGACAGGGGAGTGCAAGGTTGGACGAGGCACGAGAGACAGAGGACATGGGATTTTCAGCCGCCGGGATGGAGATGGAGCGTACAGACAGGAGGATAGGTGAGGTGGCAATCTCGTCCTTCCAGCGGTACTCCATGCTCAGCGATGAGTTGGCGGCCTCGAGGTTAGAAGTTGGACAGTTGTCCTCCCAGTTGGCGGAAGAGAGGGTAGAGAACCAGGCGTGGAGGACCCGCATGGAAGCCAAGGAGGCGGAGTGGGAGAAGAGGCTTCAGGACATGGCGGCGATAGTAGAAAGGCTCTCGACCACTAAGGTGGTCGACTGGACGGAGCAGAGTCGGTATGGTATCCAGGGGAAGAAGGTACAGGGGCTCTTTGGCCAGGAAGGAACGACGGAGATGCCACAGCAAGAGGGAATGGGGAAGGTGTTCCTGGACCCGGCAGAGGTGGCAGCAAGGCGGGAGGCCGAGGAGAGGAGGTTCAGCTTCAGGACTCCCACGGAGTTGGCCTCGCGACGGGCCACCCCTATGACGGTTGAGGGTCCTGAGGACGAGCCGGCGCAGAGACCCCAACCTCCAGTGGCAGAGGGGGGCCCCACAGAGGAGTTCCCTACGATCCTTTTGGAGGTGCAGGAGGGTGCCCTTACGGGAGGAGCAGCATCCACTGAGACGGAGGTAATGGGGGGAGAGGCGTCTCGACTGGACGAGTTGGTGGCAGCTATGGAGTTGGACATGCCGTCAGGAGGGCCTCAGAGGCAGGAGACCCCGGAGCCCGTGCCAGAGATAGGGGAGCTGAGGACGCAGTTAGGCTATTGGGCTACTGGAGCTGACTCAGGAGAGCACATCTCAGAGCAGCAGCAGGAAGTTATGAGCGAGCCAGCGACTACCGTGACTCCCCAGCCTTCTGACCTACATAGGGACGAGGAGGCGACTGCGATGGGAGGAGTCCGCAAGGGTAGGCCACTGAGATTGGACACTCCAGCGTACCGACCCGAGGGAGGTGAGACGCTAGCAGGGCCGAGTACCCAGATGATGGAGGCGGGGCCGGTAGAGTCATGGAGTATGCCCCAGAGCCACGAGATGAGCAAGGAAACCAGCGAGACGTCGCCGTTGCCTGGGTCCCAGAAGAAGAAGAGGAGGTGTCGAGGGAGATCAGACGATCAGTGCTTCTTCTGCAAGGACGGTGTACATAGAGCTCTTGAATGCCCGAAGTTCCTTAAGGACAAGGCGGCTGGGAGAGTAACAGAGAGTAGTGGGAGAATGTACGACAGGCAGGGGCGAGTGGTAGAGCGGGCTCCAGATGGGGGTAGGGCACAGTTATATAGACAGAACCAGGAGGCTATGAGTGAGTAGGGACTGGTCCGTCTATATGACAGTAGGATTAGAGCTCCTCTGTACKCAGAGGCYGTGATAGGAGTGTACATACTMTGAGTTAGTCAGGCGAGTCCCGTCTAGTTGTATATACATAGGTGGCGGTGTGTGATCGGCTTGAGCTTTATGTGTGATACGGTCTAGGGGATGAGACTTAGTTGTATGATATCTACGACATACGTGACCTGCATTTTCAGTTGTGTGATTCAGATGCTCTTACTTGTATCTTTGAGTAGGTTCTGAGAGTCCATGACACTTGGGACGTGAGTTTATCCTGTGGAGTGAGACAGTGGAGTGAGCATTTGAGTGTTTTCGGGGCGGGCATTTTGTTCTCAAATACACCCTACGAGTTGTGTGTTGAGGGTTTGAGTTGAGTGTCGTATTGAGACTTGAGGGAGATATTTTGCTCCCGAGTATATCTTTGATTCCGGACTCTGTAGGACTTATTCTTGTGACGATCACGATCACTCTTACACGTGTGGCTTTATCCTAATGAATGAGGACTTTGTGTGAAAGATGTGTGAGATACATCTCATATATGTGTATTGTGTGATTGTGATTGTCGTCTACTCTTCGGTATACTCGTGCGACCTGCTCATGGGCGGGCGGAACGGCCGGGTATAAGAGGAGGCAGCGCGGTCGTTTTTGTGACAGATATATGAGGACCCTGAGGGGTCTTGCGAGCCTATAAGGCTCGGATGCTTACCATGCCGAATGTTTATGGCTGAGCTGTGAAGGGTACCCATAAGTTGGCCCCTTAGTTTGAGTTGTTTTGCGTTTAAGTTGGGGAGACGGCCCATAAGAAGGCCCCTCAGTTGAGCTGTTTTATAATTGAGACCCCCTCGGATTATGGAAGGTGAGGATGTTGTTTATTGACAGCAGTGTAACCCAGGTCGCGTGATAGTCCATCCTGTAAAGAGAGGGGTGGCTGGGAGACCTGTTGAGAGAGACCCCCTTCATGTGAAAAATGGGTGATAGATTTAAGAACATGGTAAGCAATGTTCGAATGATAAAGTCTGACAAGAGGAAACCAGGGTTACGAGTTGGAATCATTGGTGGAACTGAGAAGGTCGCAAGTCAGTGCATAAAGATGTCATGGGATATGTGGTCTGCTGTCTTTGATCAAGTCAATAGGCCACGGCCTCGTGTGAGCCTAGCGGTGAAATTGTTTGTGATTGTGAGAAAGGGTCGTGCCCTCTATATTGTCCCATAGGGGGCTGGTAAATACCCTTAAAAGTAGGGCGGATTCCTGTGTTGTCCCGCAGTGGCCCTGTGAGTTTGTTTTGCGACGCACCGCCTAGACACTTGTGCTAATCCTAAGGCATATTAGGGAATACCAAGCTAAACGGTAAAGGTTAGCACCTCTAGGGCGCAACCCCTATTGGATGGCTGCAAGCCAGCACAACCTGGTTGCGGGCCCACGTCTACCAGCAGAGTAAGAGTTTAAGAGGTTATGCACGCCCCAATAGAAATTACTCTGGTGGAATGGCGGGGGATACGAGTCGAGTCGTTTGGGCGCCCTGATTGAATGTCTATCAGTAGAAAACCTATCGTTGCATAACCAACGAAGGGACTGCCACTAAGATAACAATGCGGTAGGCCGTAGATCTGGCTCGATCAACCAGACTATGGTGGGTCAGGATGGAGACCTAGCGTTTCTGTACTAGACTGCAGAAAGAGCCGAGTGGATATAAAGTATACAAATATACGTATGTGTATTTGATTGCGAGAGATTATCTAAGAAGGAAGGCAAGAGTGTCTTCAAAGGTCTCGGTTAGGGCCCGCGTCCCTAGTTTTGGCCAGGACTAGGGACACCCAACGAGAAGCCGAAGGTTGTCTAGGACCGGGGAGAGGATGATTGGGAAGGTCCTTGGAACTTATGTTGTTAGTGTCCTAATGTCGGGGCGGTGAGAGTCCGGGTTAGAAACCTGACAGCATATAGTTGTGGAGGCATGGTTTGATGGAGGCCTCTACCCTGTTTTTGTCGGCTAATCGAATTGGTTCCTTTTTCGTCAGCATCTTGGGTAATCTGATAGCTTTTCGATTTTGCGAAGCGACGGGGACGTCGCTTAATATGGTTCGGTAAGTTGTCGGCGCGAATACCCTTACAAGGGTATCCGCCCTGGTTTTTGCAAGTGACAGGAAATAGTTTTGGTTTAAAGTTTAAGTACACCACGCTAGGCGCGGCTGCGTCTGTGACTTACGTTGACTGGATGGTTGACTATAATAGAGAGTGCGTGGGCGCGCAGGTTTAGGGCGCGTGTGATTCTTTTCTGTTTTGGTCATAAAGTCGGCACGGACATCGGTCGTTTTGCTAGTGATATTATTATTATTTATTTATTTCTGATTAAGCAGGGATTAAGGATGTCTTCGTTTTATTGGTACGTTTGACCGAGGCCTGCGCATACGGGCGGAGGACGGCATCGAAAACAAAGTGACTTTTGAAGGCGTTTTGGTAACTTGGCGCGTCACGCAGTGTCTGTTTATTTGAGCGCCCGCCCACGCTAGACCCAGACTTGGGCCTAGCGCTATTAGTTACGACGTTGCACTTTCATCAGGGAGATTCATGGATCGAGGACGAGCGATGACAATGTGGGAATATCAGAGTGGCGCGAAGGGCCCGGCGGGGCTATCCCCTCCCCCTAGTCTTACCCTCGGTGGCGTAGGTGCGGTACTAGTGGGTTCCTTTTCCTCGAGTCGCCATATACCGACGATTACAATTTGCCAAAATAAAAATAGATTTGTTAACAGTACTTTAAGTGTGTGTGTGCCCGTTGGGACGAGAGAGGTGGCGGGTCATGCACCGGGGCAGACCGCGGACTGCGAGGGCCAGCCACATGGGACCTCGTTTTTCTTTGGTCTCAAGGTGCTCTTCTGAGTATTTGCTGCTACCGCGGAAGGGCGTACCAGGCCCGGTCCACAAAGGCACGCTTAGGCTTGGCAGCGGGCCGAGCCCCTAGTTCCGCGGCCAGTTGTCTCAGGGAGAGATTTTGGCCGCCGGGGACCCGAGGGGCCAGCGCTCCACATAGGTAAAGACGTGCGGAAGAGGCTGTGGCGGTAGCCTGCTGAACAGAGTCGGACTCAGGAGATAGGTGGTGAAAGACCGTACGAGCCAGGTAGTGGCTGGCTCCCTTCCGCACAGCAGGACCCGTCGGGCAGCCTCTGCCAACGTGCGCAGGGGGGTGGAGGGGCGACGGGCACTAGGCATGAGGAGCAAGGCGGGGCATTGCGGGTGAGGCGAAGTGGCGGGGCACTGAGCTTGCCCGCGGACTGCCCTTGGAGCCAGAACTGAGGTAGCGGTGCAGACCGGGCAGCACTCCGCCATACCGGACGGACTGGCCGGGCTGGGCGGTGCCGGTAGCATTGAACGGGGCAGCAACACAGCGAGCGACAGGGCATTAAGCTTGCTAGCAAGGCGAAAGATAACGCAGCGGGCAGCAGCGGGCGACGAGCGCTAGCACGGTGAGGTTGGGCGGAAGGGTGCCGGGCAGGAGGAAAAAGGGTAAGTGGGGGAAATGGACCCGGACGGGTATTGGCRCTAGATGCATGCGCAGCAGCAGAGAGGGGAACAGCGATGGAGGAGGGGTGCAGCTCATCCATAGGAGAACGGATTTGGACGGAGGGGGAGTCAAGGTATGGGTTTCGGAGGTGCGCGACCTCAAATATGAAGCCGGATCGGGTAGATAATGAGTAGGCAGTGAGGTTAGTGAGGAAGGAGGCGCGTCGGGCTATGGCGGAGGAACGGAGACGAGGGGAGCAAAGGGGGGATTGCTGATCTCGCCCGTTTTGTGAGAGGACTCGGACCAGAGGTTTTCGACCCGGCGACCTCGAATCCGGGATCATAATCAGTAGAAAGTTAGTGTGTGAATAGTTAGAAGAGGGAGGGGCTGCGATGAGCCATGGCGGGAGGAGTGATGGTGAGGGAAGAAGGATCGAGTTCTTACCCGATCCGTGGCGAGATCGGGTGAAGCAAGTGTCGTAATGGGGGTTTTTGGGCGGCGCAAGTATGATGGCGGTATCAGATTTAGAGTCTAACGGTTAGCCTTTGAGGTAGTCAGTAGGGAAGTTGCGCCAGGGGAGAGTAGTATGTTGCTATATAGAATAGGGAGTGAACCTGCCCGCGTTCTAGGGACAGATTCATTCGACCATGTAGGTGCTACCAGTGGAAGTAGCGTGGAGCTAGTTGCGGGGTTGAAGACTTACCTGGTCCCCCGGTAAGCTGCTCGGCGTGTCGGACGGAGTGGCCCCTCGCCATCTCCCTGCTCATAAGGCCACAATAAGCAGTGTATGTTTCCGCGTTCTAACGGAAGATTCATTCGATTTCGCTCCACCTATCGGTGAGGGTAATGCCTTTTTTTGACGCGCGCAAAAACTCTCTGAGCCATCACCACGATTGGGCTGGTTGTCGTGGAAGCCATTCCCACGGTCGTCGTCGGAGCTAGTACTGCCCATTAACGGGCCGACGTATCTGGCTACCTCTTAGCGGGAGATGCGCTCTCCATAGCCAGCTTGGTACAGGCACTAGGCGCAACGACAGGGTGGGCACGGAGGTGAGTTAGGGAGAGGTGAACCGCGGGATTAGGGGCTTACCGACTGGCAGTTGTGTCGCACATCTGGACGACAGAAGTGACCGAAGGTAAGCCGCGGGGGTAAGGGGGATGCTCACCTGGCTGGAGTGCCTCCATGGCCTAGCTGCAACACAGCAAGTTCCGACTGAAGATCTGTTGCGACTTTTGCCCATCTCGTTGGAACGGTAGGGGGAGGGGCAGGCTGCGAAGCGGCAACATTCTTGTTGCTCCTTTTGCTGCGGACTCCGCAGCTTTACCTCGGCTATGGTGCTACAACGGCGGATGTTGGGCCTACTACGGACTGCTGCGCAGCTTTAAGTAAGACTGCTCGCGCGCCGTGAGACTGCAGTTACGACTCTGGCTTGGGGGTGATCATCGCCGCTGATTGCAGYCGRTTTTGCGTTGGGTACTGCAGTGTTCTTGTTGTTCTTGCTGCAAGTTGCTTCGACTGCTGCGCTACAGCAGCGACTGCTAAGCCTG